CCCGCTCCTGGCTCAGCCGCCTCTGCTCCTGAAACAGCACCCAGGCTCTCAGCCTTCTTAGTCCAGCCCAGTCCGGACACAGGAAGAGAAACAGATGCCCGCATGGGCCAGGCTAGCTGGATCTCAGAACCCACCTGGCTGCTGGCCCCAAGAGTGCAGGGACCCTGTCTGTCGAGCTCACTCTGTTTTATTTTGTTTTGTTTTTTTTAAGATTTTATTTATTTATTATATATAGAGAGAGCGTGTGAGCATGTGTGACCATGAGCAGGGGGAGTGGCAGAGGGAGAGGGAGAAGCAGGCTCCCCGCTGAGCACAGAGCCCAATGTGGGGCTCCATCCCAGGACCCTGGGATCATCACCTGAGCTGAAGGCAGACGCTCAACCATCTGAGCCTCCCAGGTGCCCCTGTCTAGTTCACTCTTGTCCCAGTGGGGACAATCAGGGCAGTGAAACATAGAGACTACGGGAATCAAGAGTGGAGAGCACCTTCCTGGATGTGAGGGTTTTAAAATCAGCCTCAAAAATCAGGAAGTTTTAGACCTGGGGAGACAGAGGGAGCTGGAAGGACATTTTGGACTGCGGGAACAGGGCAGCACAAATGCACAGTACTTGAAAAGCACAGGAAGTTTTGGGGGTAAATTCTGGTCAGAGGATAGAGGTGAGGAGCACAGAGGGGGGTGACAGTGGAAAGGCAGGCTTGGCGCAGCTTGTCTGGCTTGACCAACCAAGCTAAGGAGTCCTTATTCCCGGGCAATGGAAGGACTAGAGAGGGAGAGAGAGATAGAGAGAGAGGTTGAGGGAGCAGAAAGAACGTGTTGACTGACCACAGGCTTGGGGGTGAGAGGGAGGGAGGTGTGCAGCAAGGCACCTGTTTTTAAAAACAACCCTATATCAGGGGCACCTGGGTGGCTCAGTGGGTTAAAGCCTCTGCCTTTGGCTCAGGGCATGATCCCAGGATCCTGGGATCGAGCCCCGCGTCGGGCTCTCTGCTCAGCGGGGAGCCTGTTTCCTCCTCTCTCTCTCTCTCTGCCTGCCTCTCTGCCTACTTGTGATCTCTGTCTATCAAATAAATAAATAAAATCTTTAAAAAAAAAAAAAAAAAAAA